CTGAGGCCCGGTACCAGCTCGGGGTCGCCGGCGGCGGCCCCTCAGGGCTGGGCGGCGGTGGTCTGCGGTCCCCGGCTCCGCACCAAGTCATTCACAAATGGCAGAGCCTCTGCTGTCCCCTCACAGGTGCCTCAAGCGTGTGTGAAATGGCGCCGTGTCACCCAGTGCCCGTGCGGGTGCAAGTGCAAATGTTGGTATGTCAACTCGGTCAACTCATGAAATATATCTGCACTTTCCCCTTTAAGGTTACATTCTGTACATTCTCTAAAATGTGTTGTTGTTGTTTTGGTTTTGGTGTTTTGGTTTTTTTTTTTGGTGAGAGGGATGAAGGGTGAGCTACAGCAGCCACATCACAGTTCTTGGTTTTTAAGGAACTACACTGCCCTTGGAGATCCGGCATTTTTCCCTATGAGAAGGAAGCGAGAAGGACGGCCCCATTACTTTAACATAACTGGAAAGTACAAACACCTCCCGATGGCTTCAAAAACCTCTGGGAACAAGGTTATGGGGCACCAATTTGATCCGGGGTTTTATAATGAAATATTAGTCAAAGCAGATCTTCCCTTGAAGTGACTGCTTTTTTGATCACAGCATTTCTTCATGAAGCTTTTTAGCCTTTTCACAGAAAAGTACTGGAATACCATTTTCTTCCTCAAAGTGTGTCTTAATGTTTCCATGAAGAGCAATTATTAATAACCTTGTAACCCATCATGGCATAATGAAATACACGAGCTGGAAGGGCTGAGCTCCCAATGAATGGGACCTGCTGTGCTCAGCCCTCCATCGCTCTGCTCGCCTTCCTTGCTTTTCCTCCTGGAGGTACCATCCTGATTTTCCCAAGGAAGGAAATGAGTTAAATCAGTTTTAAAATGTATTTAGCTTTCTCATATTACTTTAGGATTTTCAAAGAAATGCAGTGTTGTTTTATCATATACTGGATTACACTGATTAGAGTTCTTAGGTATTGGAGGTAAGGAAAACAATAATACTAAAGCAGAGCTACAGGTTATTAAATAAAAAGAGTTAATAGAACAAGGACAGAAGACAGACAATGATAGGAAAGGCCTGAGTAGTTTAGAAATTCTGGTTAAAAACTGAGATTCAGGCTGAAGAAGCTGAAGTTGAAATGGTGTTTGAAGGAGTCATTTGTGAGTGTAAGGTATAAGGAGCTACCTGCCTGCTGGGGGCAAAACCGGGTTGCCCAAGTACCCTTTGCCAGCTCCTGCTGGAAACAGGTTTTTGACATACTGTGAGGGAATTCTTTTTTTCCCTGTTT